CAAAAGATATTACACACACACACACACACACACACACACATTTATTCACCTGAGTAACTATAGGATGCTTAGATATTTGTTTAATACCTAAACTTCTAATTTCAGGTTATGGAAGCGATTTTTAGTTCCAAATTTGTCCTCTCCCTTCCCTTCTTTCTCTTTCCTTCTCCCTTCCTCCCTCCCTCCCTCTCCCTCCCTCTCCCTCTTTCTTCCTTTCTTTCTTTTTTCTTTCTTTCTTTCCTTTCCCATTCTTTCTTTTCTCCCTTCCTTTCTTTCTTCAAATAGGGGAGGTTTAAAGAGGTGAAGTGTTTGCTTTAGTGTCTTGTACCTAGTTGTTAACAGGTTCTGGAGTGCTGGGGACTCTTTGTAGAGAGTCTTTCTAGGACCTTCTTGTCCCCAAAAAGAACTGGACAAAACAAGTTCAAAAGGCAGTGAGGTTTTACATTTATTGAAAGTAGGGGAGAAAAGCATCCTCTGAAAAGTGAGTACAGGCAAATTAAAAGTAGTAGAAGAAGCGCATTCTACAAGGTGGGAGTAGACTGTGGTGAAAGAGAGAGCACAGGGGCCAAGAGCTTAATGGTCACCGCCTTTTGTGTCTCCCCCGACTCAGGCTGACATCGAGTCTATGCAGTCCCGTTAAAATCCTGCTTGGATTCTCTGGAGAAGAATTGAAGGCAGCACTTTCTGTTCGGAACTGTTTTTCTGTGTACGTCCTGCATACTCACTTGCCCAGCCGACTGACCACACCCTAATCTCCTGCCTCATTGTCAGTAACAAAGTCAGGATGAGAACCCACATTTTCTGACTGCTGGTCTCCATATTCCTTCTACCGAATCGTTCATTCATGCAGCTATTTATTGTGTACCTTTTATAAATCAGATGCTGCCCTTGTGCTTCAATATCAAAGACACGGTAGAAACCATCTGTGGCTCTTACAGAGCACAGAACATTATAGACAAAACTGGAGAGGTTTGTGGATGGAAGGTCAGGGCTCTCAGAATGCGCCTGAGAAGGTAGCCTGCCTTACCCAAGGAGGAAATGCCACTGAAACCAAGATGGAGCCAGAAGAAGACAGCCAAACAATAAGCACAAATATCTCAAGTAAAGTCTTCAAAGCTAGAGAAGCTTAAATGCTCAGAGGAAAAAACAGATACAAATGATATTAGTTATAATAATAAAAATAAAATAAGCATAGTTAATATCATTTAATACTTAATATGCGCCTTACCCTGTTCTAAATGCTTTATTATTTTGTTTCACTTACTTAAAGTGGTAATTATTCTCACCACTTTATAGATCAGGAAAGAAACAGAAGGAGACATTTCTAAACATAAATATGTCATAGATATACAGTGATACCTCGGTAACAAATTTAATTTTTCTCATAATTTTGGTTGCAAACTGAATTGGAAGCAAACCAAATTAAATGCAGTGGTTAGGTTTGATGCTGACCTTATGGGGAAGTTTGATTTAATTCTCATTCAACTCTGTTTACAACCAGAATTGTGGAAAGAATTAAGTTGGTGAATCGAGGTTCCACTGTGTTTTGTTTCCATATGACATACAGAGTAAAATTTTTGATTTATACAAAGAAATGTATAACATTTTTTATTTCTGTAAATCCATGGTAGTCTCAATTTGTTCTTAATTTTTCTTGGTTTTATTGCAATCAGAATGAATAATTCTCTTCTATCAGAAAAGTGATGTATGTGAATGATGGTAATAATGGCCTCAGGGTCAGTGAGACAACTAGGAATGTCAGGGACCATGGGGAAGTGGGTAGCAGCCTCTTCAGGCCTCCTGCCAACTCTGTGGGAAATTTAGTCCCATTGTTGCCAGATCCTCCAAGGTTTCAACTGAAACAAAAATTTCCAAGTTTTTATTTGAAATTTCCCAAGTTTGAAATCTGGCTCAACTTTAAAATATATTATCTAGGCCAGATAAAACATGGCTCTGGCTTGCGTTAAGGCCAAAATAGAGGATAGACATGTGAAATGTGGCTTAGGGAGGAGTCAAGGGTTAAACTGCAGAAGCTGCTGGAAACCATGGGCTGTAATCTAGTGATGGAGAATATTTTGTGAAGAATTCAAGTTGGGACACAAAGGGTCACATTTGCCACGGGTCAAAGTGATTACCTTGTTACTGCAGGGCTCTGACAACTTTTAAATAGAGCATTGCTCAGCTCTGAGGAGTCCCTGACAGAGCCTCTCATTTGATCTCACTTTTATCTCTTTTAAAGACCAAATGTGCTTTTCTTAGTTCCCTAGCTCTTCACTTTTACCTCAGCAAATCTTCACTTTGCTGCATGTCCCATGCCTGACATCATGTTTATATGCCCTTTCTTTCTCCTTCTCTGGGAAGATACCTTGTAACCTTTCTCATCTCCTCAGGGGCAATAAATCAGCATTAACAATGATGTGAACAAGGTTTTCCCAACCTGACAACAGGAAGGAACTCCAGGTTGTACCATCTTGCTAAGGAACAGCTCTCCAGACTTAATCCTCAGCCCCAGAGATGAGGCCTCTGAGATACCCCAAAGATGGCTGTGGAGAAGAACAGGTTTGAGAGGGGGAGAAAAGCAAGTGTCAGGCTCACCTGCCCTGCAGGAGGTGCAGTTGAAAGGCCCACTTCCTCGGCATCCTTGGCAAGTGTGGTGGCACGGACGGCATTGGTTCTTAAATTCAAACTTCCATGAGGGACAGTTCAAAACACATCTGCCATCATCCAAAACCCTAGGCGAAAATCAGTCTTTCAGAATTCATCAGGGTGACTTCCAGAATGGACGTAAGTATCAGAACATGTGGTATTCATGTTTTGCTGTACAGATCTGATTTCATTTTTCCAGAAGTAAAAGGGTTGCCTGGGACTGATCATCTCAGAACATGTGAAATATTAGTCACGTTCCCATCCCTGGCCCAAGACTGTGATCCAACAGCAGGCATGCCAGAGACTGGCTGGGGATTCAATCCTGTGTCTGTTTCCAAATAAGCTAACTGGTGCCCACAGGGATTAAACCCATTGTAGGTTCCAGCCAAATCCAGCCAATAGTCAAGGCAGGGTCCTGAACTTTCAAGAGGCTTAATAGGCTGCTGAATCCAGATAGTTTGGAAAAATACTCTCACTTAATTATCAGCTTGCCCACCTTGGAAAGGAAGACATCAACTCTGAGGCTCTTGAAGGGTAGAACGAAGCACTGTTTTGCAGCTTCGGTGCTACTTAGGAATTCAGTCTTTGTATATTGCAAATAATCAATGAGCTCTGATTTTCAATATCATTCTTTGCAAGTATTTCCTTCTGTATGGGTTACCACAGACTCTTTTTTGTTAACCAAGCTTGCAAACACTTACAAGGGCATTGGAGATAAGTCAATATGTGAGTTTCTAAAAACTTTGGTTTTATATTAATATAATATGTCATAATGTCATTGTTAATATTTTCATGTTTTTGCTTCATTTTTCCTTGCAAAGTAATCATAAGAGTTAATGTGTTTAAGGGCTGAGGATTGAGCTCAGTGGCACCATGCCTGCCTTCCTAGTAAAAGGTCCTGAGTTCGATTCCTGATATATAAAAAAAAAAGAGTAAAGGTGTTTAAATAAATTGCATCCAAGAATTTTCTACTCTGAAAAATACACAAAATGTATTAATCAAATAAATGCAAGGGAGTGTGGGGGCTGCTCCTCCTTTGGAGTTTCTGACTTAATAGTTTGCAGGACTGAAAGGGAACTGAGAATTTGCATTTCTGACAACTTCACAGGTGTAGCTGACACTACTCGGCCAGAGAACACGTTTTTGGTTTGTGTTTTTTTATTTGTTTTTGAATAACATTATTAATTGTCCACATTAATGGAGCACAGTGCGATATTTCAACACATGCATACAGCACATACTGATCAAATTGGGGCAATTATCATTTTCCACTTATCATTTCTTTATGTCTGGAGACTTCAGTCCCTCTCTTCTAGATCTTCATCAAGTGCATTAAGTTATTGTGAACTATAGTCACATCACAGTGCTGCTGAATGTTGGAATATATTTCTTCTGTGTTTGGTACCTGTTAGCAAACTTTTCTCTCTTCCCCTTCCCTTCTCACCTTCCTCAGTCTCTGTCGAAGCACTATTCTATATTCAGATCAACTTTTTCTTTTAAGCTTCCACAAATGTTCAAGAATGTGTAGGATTTGTCTTTCTGTGTCTGGCTTATTTCACTTAACAAAATGTCTTCCCGTCCACTCATTCTATTGTAAACGATGAATTTCATTGTTCTTCATGGCTGGACAACACTCCACTGTGTGTGTGTGTCTCTGTGTACACACATAACATTTTCCTTATCCATTCACCTGTTGATGGGCACCTAGATTGATCCCATACCTTGACTATCATCAACAGTGACCCTGTAATCAAGGATCTGCAGGTATCTCTCTGGTGTGCTTTCATTACCTTTGGATATATACCCAGAATTGGGATGGCTGTGCCATACGGAAGGTGCATGTGAAGAACGCCTGCTGAATGACAATCTGCATTATGTGGAACTTGCTAAGTAAATCCCAAGTAATATATGTGATGCTAAATTAGTGTCTGTCAGAGTTTCCATAGTCTCTTAGAGTTACTGTTGCTATTGTCTGGCTGACTGAGCACACAGTGGCACACATGTCCTTGAGAGCATAATATTCCCACCGAGCCGGGGAGCTAATGGCCCTGCAAATGGAAGGGTGGGCTTTTTCTCTCTCTCTACTGCTTCTTTCCACTCAGGCCCAACAATACACAAAAGGCCGGGTATAGACCTGGAGCACATGTTCCTGGGTCGGCACAGGCTTGTCTAAACCTGTTTCTGAGCTGGAGCCAACCCTGCTTAATCTGGAAGGTGGGCCATTTCAATGTTAAGTGTTTGGAGAAAAGCGGAGTGCTGTAGGGGCATCCTAAATAGTAAATCACATGCACTTCTCCATCTGGGTCATTCCCACATCCTGAAAGTCTTTGTCATTTGCATCAGTTTGGAAAAGGAAAGGAACTCAAGCCAACAACTTCACACACAAGGCCAACTTATTGTGGGATCTAGATGTAGCACAACAGAGCAAACAGTTCGTTTGGCCTCCTGCAAAGCACAGGGTCCCAGACCTAGACAGACGCTCACATGCCTGGCTGCCCCCGTCAAAGGCAGATTTGTGTGAGGGCCCCTGCAGCATGATGTGAATGGGTTCCTGGTCTCCCAGCTTAGATTTTTAGCTTTGGCACCATTGCCAATGGGGAATATCTCAGCCTGGTTTCCGAGTTGGGAAATTTTTCAAGAAATAGCTTGGAGAAAGGTGAATTTTAAAAACAACAACAAAACTCCAAAACTTCCCTGTACAAAAGAGCTGGATTTGAAATGAGGAAACTGCTGTGTTCTCCAGAAAAGAAGAAAGGGATGAGTTCACTCCAGGGGCCTATTTCTTGTGAAATTTGGTTGAGGCCGAATTGGTTTGGGGAAACTGTTTCTCTTGGGAGTGGTAACCTAATACTCTCAGTGGGAATCATTCATGCCCTTCCAAACACAGGGAAGGAGGTGGGGGGCAAAACGTTTCCAAGTTTATTTAGAAAGGGGCCGCCTTTCCTAATTGATTTTAAGAAAGTATCGAACATGTAATTGTGTTTTATATTACTTCCCTGCTCCTGCAGCCTAAGGGAAAGCTTTTGTGATGTGTCCCCTTTTGTTAGTATGAGTCTCTCTGAAAAGACACAGGAAAAACAAGCACACCAAGGGAAGGCAGTGAATTATATCATGCCCCTTCGCACTCTGGCCCTCTCAAGAAAAATAAAGAACTTTGAAGATAAGTCCTGTTTCAAATGGTCACAGTTTTCTACAGGCAACAACAGATTCTCCCAGTGGAGGAAAATAGATACTTTGCTCCATGAAAGTGGAAAGTGGGGCTGATGAAAATATTCTTTAAAATGTCAAGGTATCTTTGGGACCACCGACATCCAGTTCATGGATGCCTGGGACCCTAGCCAAGCTGTCTGTATGGAAGAGCGTCTCCTCTCTGCTCATGCTGGCTCTTGACCTTTTCATAGGTGGGGATGAGTCCTAGGCTCAAAGCGAAGAAGGCAGTACAACCAAGTGGTAAGCAGCTGGGAAGATATAATCTCAATACTGTCTTTCAGTATTCTAGAAGCCCCTAGGGTGTGTGTGTGTGTGTGCGTGTGTGTGTGTGTGTGTGTGTGTGTGTGTGTGTGTCATGAACTGTAATGGAAGAGAGCGAATTAGAGTTAGCTGGTCCTCTGTGCTGACAGTTGTCACTACCCAGTTAGAATAATCACAAGAACACTTAATGCAACTTCTTGGTGCTTAATGTTCTAACAGAATGAAGCCTGGTAAAAAGTCTTATTTTCTCTGCATTCATTGAAGCGGATTAAATAAAATGTTGAAGCCTAGGTAACAACAAAGGTGACTTCTAAATGCTTTTAATTAGTTTATCACTTCATGTCTCCTTCAGGACAGGGGTGGAAAATGAGCTCAGGCAATGAAGGCCACAGCATTTCAGAGCTTTGGATGTTAAATGCATTCCCTCCCTCCAACTTTTCAATTGTCTTTGAGGAGCGAAATCCAAAGGTTTAGAGGAATCTCAGGGGAAATTACAGGATGCAGAGATTACTCCCCAAAAGTTGATTTCCTATAAAACAACTTCAGGAACAAATTCTCTTATTTAAAAAAAAATGTATTATGGAAAAATTTAAACATATACACAACAGTAAACAAATATGGTCATATAACAAACATATATAAAAGACTTAAAACTGCCCCCCACCCCATGTATTCATCATTCAATATTAACAATTATGAGCCTCTGGCTAACCTTGTTTCATCAGACCTTCTCACCAGTTTACTGCCATCCCACAGAATTTTGCAGCAAACCTGCAAGATAAATATTGATATTCCTCTCCCAGATGACAGCCCTTTGAAGATTATTTTACCAGGACCTGAGCTATCCAAAGTCTTAAGAACAAGAAGAAACTGAGTGAGACCAAGTATCCTGGTTATTTTGTGTGTCTCCTCGTCCGCCCAGCACAGATTCATTTTTCACCATTGTCTGTGCTGTTGTTTGCTATGTCCTTCAAGTGAACTCACTGCACATTACATCTGGAGCTCACTTGTTTCCCATTGGCCTCCAGAGAGTTTCAGAAAAGAGGAAACATCATTTGGAGTTCTGAATGCAGGTAGAAAGAGATCAGCCATATTTATTAGCTCCTTGAAAGCTGCTTCCTACTTCTACACTAGGGTAGAAGCTGTTTGTTCAATAGCTCCCACTTCTACTAGGCGTCTTCTTTTCCATGGGTTGATCTCTTGCTTCAGAAGCAGGGTTAAAGTTTCCCCATAATTTCTATTCTTTTTATTTTCCACACTTATGTAAATATTTTCATTACAAATCAATACATGCTTATGTTGTTTTTTGTTTTTTGTTTTTTTTTGGTACCAGGGATTGAACTCGGGTCTTTGTGCTTGCATGGCAGGCCACCAAACCTCTGAGCTAAATCCCCGGCCCTACAAATCAATATATGCTTATGATAAGAAGAAAATATAAATTCAAGCATTTTAGAAACACCTCTTCCCCGGGCCTAACCATATTTCTCAATTGATGTGGATTATTCTTTATTAGTATATGCTTGTAGTATATGACATTCACATTCTTCTTAGAGTTAGGTACGTATGTTTAATAGATCTTCATTCTTTTTATTGCTCTTCCCCGCCCCACACATCTCTCTCCTCCCATCTGTGGATCTCCCTTCCCCATTGTCATTACTATTGTTATTATTTTTTTTTTTTAGTTCATGTTTGAGACATATAATGAATGTTGGTAGTTGGTACAGATATATGATTATATATTTTACCAAATTCAATAGAACACATTAATACAGGAGAGTAGAAGGACAGACATGCCATAGTCCTGCTCACAAGGATAGGCTCAAGGAAGAAGGAAGGTAAGATGGCTACTCTGAAGCAGAGGGAATGTCCATTCTAGAAATGCCAAGCTCTCATCACTGCAGCCGTCCCATCTCACTGGTCTGGGGGGAGATCTGCTTCCTACCTGATTAGTTAAGCAGTGATGGGTCCATTCATTCAAACACAGTGCAGCCAACAAATTTTAAGCAGCAGACCTCCCACCAGGAATGCCCTGTGGATTAGCAGAGTTGCTTACTCTACGCACAAGCATTCTATTCCTATCTTCACTCAATAGTTGAATATTTATTGAATATCTACGGCTTTCCCTAGCACTGTGGTATGTACAGGAGATACAAAGTTGAGCATCTCATGAGCAATTTCATGAAGAAAGGTACTTGTAAGCAAATGTCTTTGAAGGCTATTGGCGCTCTGGGGAAAGCTTATATGGAGCAAAAGGGCATAAAGAGAGAAGGTCAGTTGTACTGGGAGGAGGTCAGAAATGGCTTCATAGGAAAGTTGACCCTTAAATTGACTCGAGAAATGAGTACGCATTTTGCCCAGCAGATGAAAGTGATGGTTGAGAGATGGGTGTGCAGGATGGAATGAAATTCCAGGTATCAAAAGGAGCATCAAAAGCACTATCTTCATTGATGAGAAAGCCCTCCCAGTGTCCAGGAGACTGGTCCTGGTAGAAGGTACTCAGCATCACGGGGAGAAGATGCAACAGAGGTGGGCAGTGGCTAGACCAAGGAGAATTTCTGTCATGGGAATGCTGTTTCCGGCAGGCCCTGGCAGGGTGCTGAGGTGGTTAGCACCTCCCCTCTCCTCCTGTAACCCATGACTCCCACCCTAGAGAGACAGAGCGGCTACTCACCTTGTGGTGAAGCAGCTGGTGCAGTCTTCCTGGGTTGGCCCCCAGCACTTGGCACATGATGCATCACAGACTTGGCAGTGGCCATGCTCATCCGTGTATTCTCCTGGGGAACAAAATCTAGTTGTTTACTTCATTTCTACAGCCTGAGCTGTCAGTCTGAAAGCAGCCAGATATTTCTATGCCTGCCTGAACCAATAGAGAGAGCACAGAGGCAGAAAACAGGCCCTGAATACCCCAGTGACCAGTCCTAAACCCTAACTCTATCATAACAACTGCGGGGCCCCAGAAGTTGCAACCTTCTAGAATTATGAGGCAATGACATGATTTTGGACCTAGTCAACAGGTGTTTCAGATTATATAAGTAGGGGAGGCCAAAGGGGCTTCCCACAGGACCTCTTTACTTGCTTCTTACTGACTTCCTCATTAAAAGCTGAGGCTGTTGACCTACAGTGACCATTACAGTCATGATTCAAGTCAAGGTGTGAGCAAGACTCACTCATACCTTGTGTAAACATGCCGGAGGAGGGGGAACTATGGTTACTGGGCAAGAATGGGAGTTGAAAGCTGGGTGTCGTGGCACACGCTTGTAATCCCAGCACTCAGGAGGCTGAGGCAGGAGGATTGCTGTGAGTTCGAGACCAGCCTAGGGTACGTAGTGAGTTCCAGGTCAGTGTCAACTACATAGTGAGACCCTGTCTCAAAAAACCAAACATAAAAAAAAAAAAAAAAAAGAATGGGAGTTGAGTCTTGGCCCATATTTGGCAGATGTGAGTTACATTTTATCTTACAAGAGTAACAGTGAAGAAATAGCCAGCTAATTCTTCCTTATCTGGAAAGTTTATCTTTCCCGGGGAAAAACACATATGAAGTGTTGCTGAAAAAAGTTAAGTCCAACTTCACAGATGTCTTTTGAACATTTAGGAAATTACTCCCATGGCAAAGGTGGAGGACAGAGGTCAACTTCATTGAAGGTGTGAATCCAAAGGCAAGACTCTACTCACTGAAACCAACCCTTCTGTCCACACTACGTTCATTCTTTCCTGCCTTTGTCCGAAAAGAAATCAACAAGTTTCTTCAGCCAAATCCTGGAAGCCAGTTTTCTTGATTTGCAAACAGATCACGCTCAGAAAATATAGTTTTGGATTTTAATAGTCATAAACTTCCCTCAACCCCACACTACCCCCAACTATGACAGCCCTGTAAACATCTGAACATTGTCCCTCTGAGATCCAGCTGGTGTGATGAGGTAGGATGACCCACCCATGGCTTACTCAAGCTGTCTCACTGATACTATATGAGTTACTGCCTGATTTGTTGTGGTTGCATTGAGAAAAGCACTGGAAACGTGAACTTGACTGGTGAGGGATAAAGGGAAACCCATCCCCTTGCTTTTGCCTCATAGCTGTACTATGGGTTCACCATTAGGAAAGGTGAATCACACACACATCAATCTTCCATTTGCTAGAACTGAACAACAAAGATACAAATGAAGAGATTGGTAGAGCTTGCTCATGCCCAGCAGAAGAGCCTTTCATGTAAAGCTTGTAAAGTTATTCTATGAATTCTGCTAACTGAAGGGGAAAGAGACATATTCACAATAAGCAAACACCTACCAGTAGCATATCTTACACCCTTTGGACTTGGTCTCCTAAGTTTTCTAATTGTTACCAAAGTGCAACATGGACCATGAATCTAATATATGACTTTTAGAATGAGATTGTGGTTCTTAGCTTAGTAGTGGAGACTTAGGTCCCAAAGAGCACATATTCATCAAAGACAAAGAATGCAAGTACGAGGGATGGTTACTGTCTGAATGGTCAAGTGGCAGCTGAGGACAGCCTCTGTTCATCGCACCATGTATGTATTATGTTACTGCTGCCTCTGCCTCTTTTGGGGACATTGTTCATTAACTCACATGAAGATTGCTGAATGGACTAGTAATTTTGGCAATCAGCTGTTGCAAGGCAGAAGAAAATGGTGACTCTGTCTAGTAAGACTGATGATTTCAAGTTTAGACTGTCACAATATAAGAATCTTATATGTGCAGCCTTCTTTTTATTTGTTCAGGCTTCCCCACTCAACTTATTGCCCCTACTATTATCTTTTACATTGTTTTTATAGGAGGCAAGACCAGTTCAGTACATGATTATTAGTCCAGGCACCAGAAAATGAAGAGGAGAGGATCCTGGGCAGTCCAAGTAGGGAGAAATAAACCTTGCCTACAAGGACCACCACAAAATATTTATTTGTACTGTTGAATGTATTTATGTGTCTTTCAAAATTTTCATGCTGAGTGGGGCAGGAGTAGGAGAAAGTCACAGAGACTTCAAAACCAAAAGAAAGTGTATTGTAGAGAAAAATAGGCTGATAGCATAGCTTCCCATTCATTAATGTGTTCATTCCATGGATGTTCTTTGAACATTTACATACATGCCAAACACTAGGTGAGATTTACAGACACATGAATTAGGTTTTCAGAGGTTTGTGAGAAGAATGGCTTTAAAGAAATAGGTATATTTCACTTAGGAGTATATCCTCAATATGTATCCATTTTCCTATGAATGAATCTAATTTCTCATTCTTTATGGCTGAGTAGTATTCCATTTTATAGAAAAACCACATCTTCTTTATCCAGTCTCCCACTGATGGGCAAATGGGATGTTTCCAAGTTCTAGCTATTACAAACTGTGCTGCTATAAAAATAGGTGTGCATATATCATTGTGATACGATTCTTCTAATTCTTTTGGAAAAGTACATAGCAGAGGGATGGCTGGGTCAAATGGAACCTCTAGTCCCAGCTCTTTGAGGTATCTCCATATTGATTTGCATAATGGTTGCACTAGTCTGCACTTCCACCAACAATGGAGAAAAGTTCCTTTCTCCTCACAACCCCACCAACATTTGTTATTGTGTGATTTCATGATTGCAGCCATTCTTTGCGGGGTGGGGTGGAATCTCAGTGTTGTTTTCATCTGCATCTCTCGAATGACCAGTGATGTGGAACATTTTTTCATATATTTACTTGCTGCTTTTACTTCTTTGTCTGAGAAATGTCTGTTCATTACAGATGTACCTTTTTGAATTGGGTCTTTATATTTGGGGGGGCTGATTGTTTTGAATTCTTTATATATTCTAGATAACAGTCCTTTGTCTGAGGAGCAGCTAGTAAAAATTTTTTCCCACATTGTAGGTTGTCTCTTAGTTTTGTTGATGGTTTCTTTTGCATTGCAGAAACTTTTTAGTAAGATGAGATCCCAGTTGTTGATTCTTTCTGCTAGTTCCTGTGCAACTGAGAATTTGTTCATAAAGTCTTTTCCTATGCCAATGTCTTCCAGAGTTCTGCCTAACTTATCTTTCAGCAAGTTTAGTGTTTCTGTGATCTTTAATCCACTTGGATTTTAATTTAGTGCATGGTGAAAGTAAGGGTCTAGTTTTACTCTTGGCAGGTTGAGACCCAGTTTTTCCAACACCATTTATTAAAGAGGCTATCTTTCCTTCAGTGGGGACGGTCAGCTCCTTTGTCAAAGATGATGTAGCTGAGTACACCGGGAGTTGTTTTTGCATCTTCCAATCTGTTCCACTGATACTCAGGTCTGTTTCTTTGCCAGTAACATGCTATTTTTATCACAGTGGCTTTGTAGTATAATTTCAAATTGGGAATTGCTATACCCACTGCCATGTCTCTATAAATAAGTCACACATGTATAAATACCGAATAGTTTCTCTGGTGTGAATAAACTATAATAGCACATAAGATCCTAATGAGATAATTGACAATGTGAAATAATAAGAAAAGGGCTAAAGGTGTAGGGACATGGGAAAGGTGGAGAAAAGTAATAAGGGAAAGGAAAAAAATATGAGAAAATGAAAAAATGGAAATAAAATGTTGGTAAATGGGGAGGGGAGGAGGGGGTGAAGGGAGGGCAGGGACAAGGGGAAAAAATGAGAACCAAGACCTGTCATGTAAAGGTACAAGATCCCAATGACGAATATAACTGTACTGTATACTAACATGTACCAATAAACTCAATAAGGAAAAAAAATAGTTATAACCCATATGCTAGCTAGGAGCCTTCTACTTTCTTAATCTAAAGACTGACACAGAAGAGCAAGGATGTGTGCTGAACTGTGTTAGATCTTTGAAGACCTAGAATCAGAGACATTACTGTGCTTGGCATCTGTTTCCAGGTCCTGATATGGTGATTTGTTTCTTTTAACTCTTCATATTCACCCACCTTAATCCGCATCTTGTAGCAATGCTAGGATATGCTTTCAAACTAAAACCACGTTGCTTTGCTAAGTCAAAAGCTGCATAGACGGTCCCAAGAATTATTCGAAGTCTTCGTTATAATTACAGATGAGGCATTTCTAGGACAGGTAAGGGTTACTAGGATTTAAAATTCTCTCTCTCTTTTGCCTCCTCGTTGACTTCCATAAGCCAGTAGGTGGCATTCATATTGTGGCTATATATTTTTTCTATCTATCTCAATATAACAGCCTCTATTAGCTTCACAAGGGCCCTCTTTAGACGTAATGACTACTAAACATTGCCTGTCTCCAAGATCTCCAATCACATCTTTGTTAGGACCCCCATATGATTCTATATAACCGCAGGGGCTCCCTACAACTGTGTGATCACCTTTTCATTCATTTTTTAGCTGTTCCTTGAATTCTTCACTCAGCTCAGTCAGTCAACCCTCAAACTCAAGTTCCATCCATTCTTGCTCTGAAGGAGACATTTCCTTTAATTTGCTGACAGGATATCTGCATTCCTTCAACTTCCTGTTTGTCAATGTCAAAATTCCTCTCCTCATTCTCTTTGAAGGTTCACTCATCTCCACAGTCTCTGAGGAGGGTATATCCCTTCTCCTGGCCATTGTCAGCTCTCTGTCAATGGTGTTTATCTTCTTTTCTCAGGTTATTTCTTGGCCAAGTTTTCTGTCTTCAATATCTTCTTCACATCTCGCATTGATTTACAAGCTATTTCCTCTAACCTCAAATCTTTCAAAGCCCTTTCCCTCCCTGATAAGTGACTCTTAAAACTTGTTTTTCCTTCTGCTCCTTGGAAACAAAATGGAGAAAACATCATGACTCGGGAGCTT